ACGAAAGCCAGTAAAGTCCGATTTTAATAACTTTTTATGTTGTTTAATTATCAGTGTTTTATTTTACTGGACATATATTTTTTTTTAAAATTGGAGACTAGACTTGACTCTGAGGGATTATAACTTTAATTATTTGGGTAAGTACTTATTTACGAGTTTTAATGATACCATACATGTCTCAAGTAATATAGACATAATATTATATAAAGGTAGGTATGTCAAAAAAATCTATGCAATTTTTATGCATTTTATTTAATTATAAGGGGGCGGCAAATATTGAGTTGCACACGGGCGGCTAACACCTTAGCGGCGGCCTTGCGAGCCACCCTGTACATTTCCTGTTTCTTCAATAGCCTGCAAATTTTGTGGAATACCATCCAAAATACACACTTCTATGCAAATTCCTAATAATGTTAACGCTTAAATTTATTTAAAAAGAGGAAAAATTTTGAACTAAACCAACAACTCCAACAATTCCTATTTATAATAGTTTACAGTAATTTTGTTAAATTATACGAATATTCTCGTTAATTATTGGATTGCAATAAATATGACGATGTCCTCCAATGAAAATGCGAGTTACTTACTCTAAATTCTAATTCTGAGCTGGCAAATGAACTAGATGCTTTACCTAGACCGTTATTCAGAAGCTACAAACCTATCGATGAAAATATGCATGAAAATTTACTTCTACTATTTTCTGAAAAATATTTATGGATAAATAAATCAGTAAATAATAACTATTCAGAACACGCAGCCAAACTAAATTAATCAAGTAATCTTTAATTGAGCTGCTATAACAAATATATACTTAAAGGAAATAGGAACATACCAATATAAAACAACCCCACATATGAAAAGCAATAGATTATCTAAGAGGGGAAAAAGAAATATATTATTTACGTGGCAAGAAAATAAAAATGTGAAAATATGAAAAAATAGGATATGAATTCCATTAGATATCGCGTTATATTCTTTTATTACAAGTGAAATGAAGATACAAATTTATACTATTTTCGGATTCAGTTTGTAACATTATTATATTACAAATATATTTTGTAATATATGTCTAAGGTCTAGCAGAGCTTAGAATATCAGATTGTATTTAAACTTAGTGTCTTGTTAGCCAGTCTGTCAAATTTTGTCATCTTCGTCTCAGTCAATCGTAATCTTGTTACCATTAAGAGATACCTTCACAAATACTTGATAACATTTCTATGCGATCCAATAGTTACTTTGAATCTTCGTAAGATTAAAATTTGCGGGACGTTTTTTCAAATTTATTATTAGATTCCTTTTACAGATATATACTGGGTGCGTCTCAAAAGTGGCTCACCCCTATAACTTTTTTTATTTTTTTTTCAAATAAAAAAACGAGATTTGGTATGTTAGTATATGACATAAATTAGGATTAATTGAGGTATTCAATTGTTTTTGGTTAAAGGCTCATTTACATTTGTCACTTTGGTTGTACAACTTGGATGAATCATCCAAAGTGATAAGTATAAATTGCCTTTCATCACTGTTTCATCCAAAGTGTACACTAAAATTGAACGATGAAACAAGTTGACGGTCTTCCTACTTTTGTTGAAAGAAGCGTTCAACGAACCGTAGATTCATCCAGATTGAACGGCAAGTGAAAAATGTAAGCAGCCGACGCCGACCCGTGCGGCCAACCTCGATATAGAAAACACTGGGAGAGGTGGCAGCCTGCGGAAGAGTGAACTGCTGCGAACTGGACGAAAATATGTAAACAAGGATGTTCAAATTGAATGAATTCAATCTGAGTGATTCATTTTGCTTGTACATCCAAAGTGACACAGTGTAAACTCTGCTTTACTTTCTGTTTCACCGGAAGTTACTACAAATTTTGATTTTTCATTGACACCCGTAAAGTATTTTATTACTTTACTCGATAGAAAATAAGACTCTAAATAATATGACATATCATATGTCAACTTTTGACATTTTCGCATATGGTATATTTGAAATTGTAACATTCGGTTTATAACGACAATTTGACACGAAATACCAAGTTTGTTTACCAAGTTTGTGGTACCAAATTATTCGTAAAAAAATGCTTTTTACAAATATGCTAATGAGCCACCCTTGTTCCATTTGAAAAGATTGAGATATGACTAAAAATACGATTTGGGCATCTTTTAACCAGCCAGGACAAGACACGAAAAACACTAGACGATCAAATCTATTTTTCCAAGGCCCCTTGATTAAAAACTAATATTTTTAACACTGCCATGGCCATGGCACTCTAAATTGAAATTGAAAATACGATTTGTTTAAACGAAAATGTCAAAAGTTGACATATGATATGTCATTCTATACGGAGTAAAAATATACCGAGCGTGCCATTTAAAAATCCAATGTTGTAGTAATTTCCGGTAAAACAGGAAGTGACCAAAAATACAATTGAATACGTCAATCAATCTCATTCAATCTCGTTTTTTTTTAACTAAAAAATACAAAGTTATAGGGGTGAGCCACAATAGAAGAGACATATTTTTTCTTTGGCGTTTTTCAAATCCAAAAGTCCAAAATAACCAAGTTATTTTACTTTGAAAATTAAAAAAAATATATTTTTTGCTTAAATTCTGAGGACGATCGGATTTTTTCTGCGTTTTTGTTCTTCTAAATTTAATCTACTACCTATGTTGCCACACAAGATAATGTTTTTAACGAAAAATTAAAAAAATACTTTTTTTTGGAAAAATACAATTTCCAAAAAAATTTCGCCAAAGAAACCTCATAGGCGTGGGGCGTGGGGTCGAAATATACTACCCATAAAAATATTAGCACTTATTTAAGACCCTGTATATTCCGTAAAACCTAGAATAACTTTGTGTAGAATAATAACTAGGTTGTCTAAAATTTCATAAAAAAAACTCATACACGTATTTTCGTGGTTAAAATATACTACCCCTAAAATATTTGCACCCATTTGAGACTCACCCTGTATAGAAATTATAAAATAAATAATTAAGTGGAATAATAGGTATTTAAAAAATATAGAATGAGGTTTAGGAAAGACAATACGCTCAGAAACAAAAAGACAATATTCGATGTGATAGTAAAACACTAGGTTGCACCAAAAAAATAAATTTATCAAAAAAATTATTGCAAAGTTTGAGCTTTAATATTAATATTAAGAGGTGTCTCATCGTTATTTTCTATTTTCCATTTAAATAATATGGGGGAACAATTTTTTTTTTATTTTATTACGTTCTAACAAATCAGCGTTTTGTAGAAATCGATACAAATTCTTAGAAAATTGAACAGTCATGATATGAATGAATGTCTTGACAGGTCTGATTATGAATATTCATTTAATCGACTCTTAATTGACTGTTTTTCAACTTCAAATCGTATATGATACCTTCCATAATTTTTTATATTTTATCACGAAATAATGGCTAAAAAACATAAAATAGCATATTTTGTGGAAGGTTCATATACGATTTGAAATTGAACTTTAACCTTCAATAACTTTCAAACGAGTCGATTAAATGAAAACTCATATCAGACCTTTTCTGCAGACCGTTCAATTTCCTACAAGGATATGTATTAATCATGGAAGAATATGTATGAAAATCATGATAAGACACCTCTTAATATTAATATTAAGATCTCAAACTTTACCAGATTTTTTTTCATCACCCTGAACGATATTTTCATGGTAACTAAATAGAAAAAAAAATTGGGGCACCCTAGTAACAACACTAAGATTTTTTTGTATAGATTTCCCAATATCTCTAATATTTATTCGATCTACTTGTTGAGACTATACTTAACACACGGTATTCGAAGAATTCTGGTCTAAAAGAAAGCATATAACAGTAAATAAAAAATAGAAAAAACACCACACAAAATATGATACATTTATAAAATCGTACCCATTTATCACCCTGAATTGATCTAAAATTAAAATCCTATCGAAAAAAGACGATGACTCAATAACAAATTCACCTAATCATGCAGTATTTATTTATCAAGGCATACAAAAAATCAATACATATTGAAACATCTCCCTTCAAAACATCATTAATTCATCGCTATAAATCCTTCTCTCGCTACTTCATTTTCTACATCTCCACCACGCTCCATTCTCATTTTCCTGTTAATTTTTCTCTCAATATTATTCCAGATTTTAATCCAGGTACGGAGGAACATCGGAAATGATTTTTATATTCCAGATTCCAAAGGGACCGGATTAAATTTCTCGTTGTCAGACGTCAAAAATGAGCCTTGGCATGTGGAAAAGCTATAAATTTTCATTCACTGACTAATGAAAATCTACCAGTCATTGTCGGGAAATTTCACAAATCGTTACGTTTCAAACTGTTCAATCTTCACGTTATTAAAACAGTCGATATATTATCCTTCTTTTTATTTCTCAAAATTTTATTAATCACGAGAATACTGATAACAAATGGCTAATTTTTCTGGTAATTAGATTTTCAAAAATTAAAATTTATTAATAAATATAAATTATTATTTTAAGCAAAATAAAAAAAACTAATCGGTCTTCGCCTAATAATAATAGTATGTCCCCGGCTTGTCTATACAAGAGGAAAAACTTATTATTGATTACTTATATAAAATGGTTAATCCCGTTTATACTTTTACCAATTTCCCATACCATTTTAGTTAAATACGTAAGGTTTAAGTGTGATAAACCTTAATCAAATTTAACTTTATTTCAATCATAGAATCTAAAAATCGAATATTATATAGGGCGTTCCATTTAAAAAAATACAATTATAATATTTTTTACTTATTTGGGACACTCTGTAACTCTGTATCTGGTAAAAATATTTTTAAATTGTAGCGCTAATAGTCCTTCAATGAACCCAGAACTTACAATTTGTAAAAATCAAATCGTTTAGCTACAATACTCAGTGTCGTACATGGTGAACAACCCTGTATAAGAAAAAGTAAATAATATTTATTAGTTGCACCTAATTACACATTATTATTTGTTTCAGATGTTAACCAAAGTGGGACCATTGACAAAAAGGACTTTGAACTGGCCATCGAAGTAAGTTATATTCATCAATATTAACAATAACACTCCAGTTTCCAGACAAAAATCTTACAAATATTCCCCAATTTTTGTATTATAGCCTTCAATCAACGCTGATAAGCATTCTGAAATACTAATGTAGTTATTCCAAGATTTTCTTTGACTCTATGATAACAAATCATTGTTTTTAACTTTTTTATAAAAAAATAATCTACAGGGTGGTCCGAACTGTATTCCGGAAACTTCGGCAGCATATTCTACACATAAAAATAAGTAAAAAGTTCGTATATATACAGGGTGGTCCGAACTGTATTCCGGAAACTTCGGCAGCATATTCCGCAGAAAAAAATAAGTAAAAAATTTCGTATAAATGTATGTCCTAAAATGCTTAGTTTCGGAGATACCGGGTGTAGAAGTTTCATTTTTATTTCGATTTTTTCCAAATAACTTCCGAAGTAACGTCAATATTTGGATAAAAATTGGTGTCTGGCAGTTTTTTGACATGAGAAATTTGATTTTGATGTCAATAGGACTCTTATTTGTAGGGGGCGCCTAACCAAACCTACATGTGTTTTAACTGTTTTGAAGAGTAATAACTTTTCGTCCGTACCTATATATATACCGTATAAATAACTTTCGTCCGTACCGTATAAAACTACTGAGTAAAAAAATATACATTTCCATGACTTCTTACGTAAAAAATGTCTCTTGGTAAAACTCGCTACGAACAACCGCTCTCAATATATTTAGATTGGAAATAGTCAATACATGTCATTATTGACAAAAAATAAACACGTTGTAAATTTTTATTTTTTTAAATTAATCATAAATAGACAAAACAGTTTCTCTTGAACTTCTGGTACAAAAACATTTCAAATTTATTATTTCAGTCTAATAACTATTTAGTCAACACGTTTAATTTATGTCAATGATGACATGTATTGACAATTTCGATTCCAAATATTTCGAGAACTATTACTCGTAGCTATTTTTACCTAGAGACCTTTTTTACGTAGAAAACGACGTAAATGTATATTCTTTTACTCAGTAGTTTTATACAGGTACGGACGCGAAAAGTTATTACTTTTCAAACCAGTTAAAAAATATGTAGGTGGCGCCCTCTACAAGTAGGCGTCATATTGACATCAAAATCAATTTTTTCATGTCAAAAAGCTCCTAGATTCCAATTTTCATCCATATATTGACGTTACTTCAGAAATTATTTGGAAAAAATCGAAATAAAAAGGAAATATCTACACCCTGTATCTCCGAAACTAAGCATTTTAGGACATATGTTTATAGGAACTTTTTTACGTATTTTTATCTGCAGAATATGCTGCCGAAGTTTCCAGAATACAATTCGGACCACCCTGTATAAAAAATTCACAGTCCTTTACAAAGATGCAACCGGGGGGGCATTGAAAATGATGAATAAAAACGTAAATATATGATTAGTGTTAATATGAGTATTTAAATAACGAACTTTAACGAACGAAAAAACAACAGATTTAAAGATTCACTGAAAAAGTAGTAGTGTGAACATTAAATAAAACATTATCAATAATAATTATGCGATCGCACCTATCCGTAAAACAAGCAAGCAAAAAAACCTCGAAAAAAACAAAATAACATACAAAACATCAGGTTAACATGATGACAGATCATGATCAATGACAGATAAAGAATTCTTAGGGAAAGTTACACTTTACGATATAATTTTTTAAATGTTAAAGGCAAACCCCTTTTAAACACAAAACTTTTTAATACCTACTACTGTATCTAAAAGACTTTTTTTAAATTACTAAATTCTTAGCCACGCTTCTGTTTTTCTTGGCTGCTGTGCGTCACGTCACAGATTAACAGGTCCACGTTTGCACCACAAGGCGATGCTGCAGACCACTAGGTAGACCGGTCGTAGAAATTTATGTTATACAACTTGTAGTCAATCTACACAAATATTATCAAAAACTTTTTTTCTTTTAAAATGTGTTCAGATTTTGTAAAAAATCTGAATCATTTAAAGTCAAAATGGCAAAACTTAAATTTGATATGAGTTTCTTAGTTTTTAACTAATATAGTGGTGAATTACAAAAATTCCTTTTCAATGAAAATTAATGAGTTAAATAAAATAATTTAATAAATTACTAGCTTTTTCTCGCGACTACGTTCGCGTTACACCTCGAATCGTTCATGCATTGATTTAAATGATTTTTTACTTCTTTATAGAGAGCTAGTGAGCATAGATGTTTTTTATTTTTCATCTATTTTTTATTTATTAAGAGCACTAATACTCTCTTTATAGGTTATTTTTTATTCTTTGAAGGATAATTGAGGAAGATATATTTCGTTATGATGTCACTAAATAAACCCTTGTATAAAATTTTATACTGTCTGGTTTATAATGTTATAGTATTGCATTTTCGTAGAGCAAACTTTCATTCTCTATTCTACTCCCTAAGGGTATAAATTTCATAAATTCGCTTTACCTTTGTGCCAATTTTTATGTGTATAATCCAGAGGTCACCAAGTTTTATATAAATTTTTACTAACTTTACCCATTTGGTTGATGAATTTCAGAAATTTCTTCTAATTCTTTTTGTAGGATTTCATTCTTCTAGACCAAATAGTAAGGAATTTTCATACAATAAACTGTTCCGAGATAATTTTACTCTCTAAGAGGATGAATTTCCTAAAATCGCTTTGTGTAGCTAATTCACTAATGTCGTTTAAACGAACCTTTGTGCTAATATTTATGTATGTAAAGCTGGCGGCATGAACTCACTCTAAAATATCTAAAAACGTTATATATAATCTAACTGACACACCACTGACAATGACAAATAATTTATTTCTGGAGGTATTGTGTGTAGGTGTTTTTCAGGTATGTTTTAGTATTTAGTCGTTTTACACAAAGAAATAGCCATTAAGCACTATAAAAATACTTCATAACAAATCTACACATATATACCTTTCATTTAAAAAAAGAATCATCAAGATTGGTAAAGCGGTTTCGGCGGGATGGATGCAACAAGAAAACCATTTGAGCTTTTCTATATGTATGGATTAATTATTTTTCCAACATATTTTACTTTGCAAATTTTTATAAATATTCAGACTCGCCAATATCGTACTTCACCGTGTCCAGTCTGTTTGGCCAAACGTAGACCGATTCCTCTTCGGCGGCGTCGTGACCCTGGCCGAAGGAAGAGTCTTGAAGACGCTCATCCGCGCATAGGAATAAGTTGACTGCGTAGCGTATTGCGTATTAATCGATTCTGAAACTTTCTATCTAGTGTATAACATGTTGAGCAAGCTTATTATTTTAATCTCGATTTTAATGGATAAATGTGTGAAATGCCACCTGAATATCTTCCTCCATGACATGTTTTTACTTTTTTGTTATGGTAAAGTGATTTGTATAAACTTTATTCAATAACGTATATTTTCCTCCATTTGGTGATTTTTTAATTTTAAGCGAAAATTAAGTATAACATTTTAGGAAAAAGAAACACTGTAATATTTAAAAGGATAAGAAGAAATTAGTCTTATTTTGAAAGGAAAATATAGAAAAAACTCTTTGTAAAGAAAAAGTCTTTATACTAACCAGAATCCGGAAATATTACTTATTACTTCGCATAACTTCAAGAATATCTACTTTTAATAATAAACACTTCAGAAATACACCAGTAAAAACATTTATTATTTGAGATTAAAACTCGAATTAAATTATAAATATTAGTTACTTATTTTGTTATAGCTTTTATAGGCCTGTTTAACGACTTAATAAGTTACCTAGCGAAAAAATCTGTGCGCGTACCTACCACTATTGTTACAGGTTAATTCGTTAAAGAAATATGTTACACAAGTTAAAAACGCTAAAATTTTAATGGTATTACTTGTGCATTTGGCCTTATAATGTAATTTGTTGGAATTATATCTTCTTTAAATATAATTAGACTTTTTAACGACTTTTAAGTTACCTAGGAAAAAATCTGTGCACGTACCTACCAGTATTGTTACAGGTTAATTCGTGAAACAAATGTGTTACATATTATTCGTGGTATTAGTGGTATTATATTGGAATCAGCTTGGCATTAGCGGGGTATTATATGAGAAATTTTGGTATTTAATTTGTATTTTTGGCATTACTTTGGTATTAGTATACAGACATTTGTCAGCGGTTTACTCCTTGTAGATAATCAAAAAGTTTTTTGATAAAATTTGCTTTTTATGTCAGATCATTTCTATGAAAAATTACATTAGATTTTTATTAAAGACGCTGGGTAATGAAAACATTGACTAATAAAGCTTGTCCACTTTAAATAAGGGGTCACAACATATCCTCCTTGGAGTGTTTGGGTTAAGGGGTGTATAATAAATTAATCGTTGTTTTATAATAAAAACCATAAAACATTTATTTGTGAGTAAAATAATGCAATGGTTGGATATCTCTCCTTTATAATTAGGTGACTAAAAATACACTAAAATAATTAGAAAAAAAATCTTGTACTTATTTAGTAATTACGTCAATATTAATTAATTGACTTTCTTGCCCTCAAATTGAATTTGTGCCCTCTTATATCGTAAGAGTTGGTTACCTGGTTACACCCCTTACAGAAAACAGTGTAAGGGGTGTAAATAAATTGCATAATTACTGTTTTTTATAATAACAACTATAAAACATTTCTTATTTGTGAGATTAAAAAAACAAAACAATGCATTGGTTAAAATAAGTACATTCAATACATATGTATATGTGTTATAACATAATATAGCCATTACTATTATACTATTATTATTAAAATAATATGTGTGTAACATATTTCTTTAACGAATTAACATGTAACAGACACTTATATGCCCAGTATATTTTTGTTTAATAAACCAATCAGGAAAAATCCAAAACCTACCGTTATAGGAGGTATAAGATGATTAAACTTATATAATGACAACTACATATCGGATAACAAATTAATTACTACAGTCAGCCAGTTCAGCTACTGTCTAGGTAGAAT